GACAGAGTAAGATAAAATAAGCTTAGTGAGTGAAAAACAGCGGAAGAATGAGGAGGAAAAAAAAAATTGCAGAAGTGTATTAAATGTAATTGAATTTTTTTTTTAAAGAGTCCTTTGCCAAAGTCCTGCAGTAAATGACAAGAGCGAAATGAGTCCAGAATTAGTACTGGCTTCTTTTGAAACATAACACAATCAAGTTGAGAATTGTTTTCACTTTTTCATATCTTGTTGGCTGAGGAATTTTTGACAAGGGGGGCTAAGTTCAGAGAAGAGCAACATAATAAATGGAAGGATTGGGTAATGGGGAAACAGAAGATTCAAATTGTATAGCTTGGCAATAAGAAACCTAATGAAATTTATGAAAAGTGTCTAACAACATTTGAATAAATAAACACAACAGTAGGAGGAAAATTAGCTCCTGCAGGTGTGGCGTACCTATGCTTAATAGGATGACTTTAATAATTTTTTTTTTAATGAAATTTTAGGCAGAATACCAGCAAGAGGCTCTGTGGGGCTAGCCAGTGGGTTGGGAAATAGCAGAGGAAAAAGGCAATAACCCAGCTAATCACCAGAAAACATGTAGTACTCTAGAGTAATCTTATTCAGCACAGTATATTTCTAAGTGTCTATTCTCCGAAACATAATCCCAAGAGAAGACGCAAAGGGTGGGATTCTTCTCATGTGACATAGGGCTGTCTAAACAGTCTAGTTCAAACTAGTCAGCCCATCTGCTCTGCTGTTAATGGAGAGAGACAGTTACAGAAGACAAATCATCTGCACATAAAATCTGAATCCCTCTCTCCATCTGGGATAAAAGGGGAGTTGAGATCACAAGCTTTGACTTTGAAATGGCTAAATTTATGTACTATGAATCCTAGTTTGAAAAGTGGTCACAAAAAAAATCACCAGTCGAGCAGGGTCATGATGTTTCAGAAGTGAGTTAGTATACCTTAAATTAAAACCCTGATGTGACAGAAAATAAGCACGTTAACTTAAGAAGCATCTAAATACTGGTGATAGTTGAAGAAACAAAAAGAAGTCTTCTTGGATAATATTTTTAATTTCCCGAAAAGCCTGACTATGGCTATCAACCCATGCAGTCAAAATCATCCTCTTCACAGGATGTACCATCAAGTCTTTCCTAATTACTTTCTTGAGGTTTATTTCCATTTCTTTCATTTGCAGTAATAGTTGTATATGGATTCATCTTCACTAAAATAGATATGGAAAGGAAAGAGACAGCTGATGGCAGCAAACCTTTGCCAGTCACTTATGTCAGAAATTCTGCAGTGAATGTTTTGAGCATAATCCATCCCCGTGGAAATACATTTCACATGTTGGATCTTACCTTCAGTCGAACCAAGCTTGATTTTATTGATTTACAAACTTTCCCTTAAAGTATTATTATTATTTATTATTAATAATAATAATGTTATAGCTCTGGGTTTCTGTGTATTGATGTAAACATCAAGCCCTCTTCCCTCTATTTGATATTTCAAACCCCTGCATATTATACAACCTTATGTGGAAACCAGGCTGTATCTGGTCTAAACATTACCAGATCCTTCACTACACCAGGGGAACATCCTTCCCATGGTAGTTTGTGTTGGTAGCCAGGCTTACTGCACCCTGTATTTTTTTAATTTTCAATTATCTGATCTAAATCACCAGGAGATTACTGAATTAAACTGATTATGCTTTACATCTCTAGCCCCAGTGATTCTCTGCTAGATACTCTTAAGGAAACAGAAGACTCTTCACATGGTTTTTACATGCTTTGCTTGATGGGGCTCCTAAGTGATGCTGCAGCAAACCACCAGATTCCCTAAACAAAACCACATTCTAAGAAGAGAAACTGAAGGTTACTCCAGATGCAAATTGCTGATCTAAGTGAAGTTAATGACAAAAATCCCAAATTTGCTGAATCAGCATTTCTAAGGAAACTTAAGGATTCAAGCAAGACGTGCAGGATAGATGGAACCTCTCTTTTAATCTTAAAACTGTTTTACACATTTGCTCTTTCCACGGAGTCCACACACACTCATAAAACAAAAAGTATACACATAAAGTAGTTACAAAATAAAGAAACAGAGTATATATAACACGCTTTGTAAATTATCTGAAACTTCTGCAGGTTTTGACTGGGAGGAGCATACCTGAAAAACCTTTCATTTCCTTTCATTCTTATTTGCTAAATTTCTGCTCATCATCGGTAGAATTACCATCAAGTGACTAATATATAGATGATTCTGTAACTTCAATCTTATGTAAATGTACTTATTCAAACCCCTAAGTGTTTGAATGCAAAGATTCTTGCATCATATAATAAATCCAATCCTTTTTAGGTATAATAAAACAAATTGCTTTATCATATGATAAATTCTTAGTGTAAATACTTAATACAGCTTTGAGAAATTGACTTTTACAGAGCTCTGTCCACTAGAGGTCTCTAGAGAAATACAAGAAACAATTCAGAACAGCAGATACCTTAGACTTTTCTTCTTGACACTACATTCCATGGATGATGAAAATCAGCATTTGTTCTATACTTGTTTCAGATAATTCTTTAGGTATGCTTCTTTTGCCATGGATAATTAAAATTCCTATTACTACAATAATAATTCACATCCATGAGATGTTTTAATGCATTTTATAATTAGATTTTCAACATTTGTAATTAGAATTTCAACATCACATGCCTTGAGAGGTATAATATTGCAAAAGGTTTTTCTCCAAAGGAAAAGAAGAAACCTGAGGTTGCTACTTGGTTGGGTAGTCACCTTGCTAAATAAAGAACAAATTAAAATAAAGTAGCAATGAACACAAGTTGGTTAATCACAACAATAATTTAGGTGGCAAATTAGAAATTTATTACTCTGGTGTGCTGTTCAGCAAACCATTATATCACAAGCAAAACAGAGCCTGGCTTCATTACTTGTTTTTATATTTGGAGTGACATAAACTTAAATGAGGATAGGATTCATGTAGTTGGACTGTTTTTTCTTTTTGATGCTTTTTGATTTTGATGTTTGTTTTTTTTTACTGGAAGTTTTTAAACTGTAAGTATATGCAGTTTCCATTGGATTGATGATTTTCAATACTTTCATTTCCAGTTAAGGATGAGTTTTATCTATTTTATGATCTATGCATTTTTACACCACTTACCAGTGCAACTCGTTCAGTGATCTAGAGATTTCTCAGAAAGTCAAGCTTATGGTCATTACTACTTTTTATGGCCTGCATTGACTCATTTTTACTAACATTTGCCTCATTATATATAATGGTGTCACCAAGGTTGATATAAGGTTTATGTTGATTATCCTTTAATTAGGTTAATAAAATTACTTCATATTTGCATATCTCTTCATCACTGTTTTCTCTACTGGCCTATCATCTCTGAAACCGTATTTGATATTGAGTTTGAGATATAACGGTCCTGTAGACATTTTCTTCTATACCTCTGAAGTGTAAGGGAGAGGTTTATAACATTAATCGGGAAGCTGAATAGGAGGAATAGGAGTGCACCAGTGAAATTCTCTTAAAACTTGTAATATTATGTCACAGAGTTGACCCATCACCTCCATCAGCTGATTTGACAGTGACAGTTTCAGGCATAGAGTTTTACTGAGTTTATGCACAGTGAGTAGAGAGATGATGATACTTCCATGAGCTATCTTGAGTCATTTACAGGTGGGATGAGTACAGGCTGCAGTAGAAAAAATGCCCCCCCTACCACTTAACCAAATACTCCTACTCTTAACCTTAGAAATGATGAAGTGCTATGGTTATGTAAGACATAATCTTAACCATCAAATGCTTATGTACCTATGCCTAGTTATAACCTTTACCTATAATGGTATATAGGAAGTAGTCATTCTGTCTGCTGCTCTTTACTCCATTTTCGCTGTTTTATAATGATAGGTTGGTTCCAAGAGTGCTGTCCAATACTGCATTTTTTTCCCATTATTTGCCCAACTTTGGTCTGGAAGAGGAAACTACAGCAAAGTACTGTCATTAGAACTCACCTTACTTACTTACTTACATAAAGATCTGAAATGATCTATAGACTATCCTTGAAATTGCTTTCATACACAGACACTTCTATAAAAATGACAGAGTTTTTTCCTTAACATGAAAATTGCAAACTCGTGGACTGCAGTCCAAACACCAACTGTCCCTGGAGCCTTAGGACTGTCGCTTCACTGGAGGCTTCAGCCTGTCACTTCACCCTTCTGCCTCAGTTTTCTCATTTACAGCTCAGAATTACATTTTCCACTTACTTCACAAGAGGTTCCCAAGGACTGAATAATAATTATTAAAAGGTATATATTAAAATTTTCTGGTACTCAGCGATAATTATAAGATTACTTAAGGCTCTGAATAAAAGCATTATGTAATAGCAACTGTTATTGTTAGAATTAAAAAATATTTAGGCTAATACTGCATGTGATTGTGTAACTACTTCAGAATCAGAATGTGTGTTAATACAGCTTTTTTTTCCTCAATACACAAGTGCTATTCCAGGTTATTGACAGCAGTATTGTTTGGAAATTTCATGAGCCTCACAAGTTAAACAGCTTATAGCAGATAACTGTGGGGACATGGAAAACAAAGGGAAGCAGTGCACTTCTTATGGGAACAGACGTCTTCCTCTGGGTTTGAACAAAACCACACACAATGATCATGACCTCTGGATGATTTGCTGCTATAAATACCAAATCATAAGTCAAAGTCTAAGCTTCTCAAACATTCTCTGCTGTTGTGTAAGCAGAATAAAATGTTAAGCTTTCTGTAATAAGGAAGAAATTAGTCAATTGGGGATTAAAAATACAGTCTATATGCTTAATGTATGGTACTAATTTAGATTACTGAATCTGGCAGTGAAAGCTGCTATTCTAAGGAGGGTGGTACGAAGTTTCAGGTTGATCCCATGGTTCCCTCCCACCAACTTCCAGCATGTATATAAATTGTCAGCTCTCCAGACCCTTTGCCAGTTCTCTCTTCTAGACTTGCCAGAAGCAGCAGAGGACTAAAGATGAAGATCTTTTTCTTATTCACCTTTACCACTTTTTTGTTGTATGCTTTTGAACAAGCAGCTGCTTCTGCTCACTATGACAAGATTTTAACTCATAGTCGAATTAGGGCACGTGACCAAGGGTAAGTAACTGGGTTTTATTTCTATTTTAAAACAAGTGCTTGCTAATGTTTATTCTGCCTTTTCTTCACATATTATAATAAATGTGATTTTTCACTATGAATTCTTGCTATTGTTCAAGTAGAACTTTCTAAATTAATTTTACAAGAATTGTTCCTAAATAAAAAGCTTTCTGGGGAGTTTCAAAAGGAGATAGAATACTGTTAAAATTCATAAAATGTGGATAAATCTAAAGTCACTATTTTTCAATGAATAAAATACATGTTTTAGAATCACTGAAGTTAATTACAGTTCACTGTTATTGTAATGGGACATCAGATATGTTTAATACCTATTTTCTAATGTTTGAACGGAGTTGGCATGTATTCCACAGCATTTGCTCTCTTTATTCCATCCTAATGAAAATCAGGAACTCTAAATGCTTTGTAACTTGGGAATATATATTGGGAGCCCTTTCTTAAACTTCTGTTCCCACTAAAGCAAGGCAGCAAGCTGCTCAGCAGAGTACCCAAAAAACAATGCTTACAAGCCAGGCTGCTTGGAGACATGGAAATAATTTGAAAAGCTGGTGTCAGGGAGACGCATGTGTCTAAACATATTTTCCTTCAGTCCTCTTAAGTAAAAAATGTTCCGTGAATACAAATTGTTTACCACCCTATCTTGCTTTGTTGCATTCACTCTGCCTGCTACACATGGACACACACATACACAAACACTCCCTGAGCTTTTTAAATTAAAAACTTCACTGGCTTCCTACTGTTATAAAATATATGTTCTAACTTTTGAATAATTTTATTTTTTTTTAATTGTAGAAGTGTAAAACTTAGCAACAAAATGCCTGTGGAATTTGCCCTTAAGAAATTCCTCTTCTGTACGTTACCGTGCTAAGGAAAAAGCATTCCTCATTTGAAATTTGCGACTCCTTTTATTTACATGCCAATTTACCCTTTGGTCCCCAGTAATTCCCAGAATGTTTACTTAGGTGCCTGTGGTACTCCAAACGGTTGGTAGTCAAAATAGCTGATTGATTTACAGAAGTCAGGGTTTCATTCTGCATCAAGAACAAGGCACTTTTCTTCCCCATCTCCCTATGACCTTCAGCTGCACAGATGTGTCCAAGACAAAAACTTTAATGAAAAGAGCCTGATGGTATTCACAGCTCCATACCCGATAGCTGGTAATTAATTCACTTCACAGGGGGAAGGGAGAAATGTAAGGCATATTGAGACTTGACTTGACACAGCTGGCAATCACTGCCCATCAGAGACAGAGGGTCAAACCAGAATGGAGGGGAATCTTCTGCCCCTGCCGAGAGAGTGGGCTTGCCAAGGAACCCAGCTGGGCAGTCCCAGGGGCTTGCACTGTGCTTGCTTAAAATCACACCTGTCCTGAGAACTGAAGCCAGATGTTCATTTCTTACTCTTCCTCAACAGAAACTGTATTTGCTGCTATTTTATGCAAAACTTTTCCAAAGATATATGGAAGCTTCTTTTTAAATGTTTCTCACTCCTGCCCCTAGCCCAAATGTATGTGCTCTTCAGCAAGTCATGGGAACAAAAAAGAAATACTTCAGCACCTGCAGAAACTGGTACCAGGGAGCCATCTGTGGAAAGAAAGCGTAAGTATCCTGTTTAAAAAATGTTCCTCATTCATTGAGATACAATATGTGATTAGAAAAGTTTCATTTTTCTCAGAGGCAAACTAACTGTTAAATGCAGACACAGGGAGGATTCACAGGGTTACAGCTTCTCTTCAGCTGCTTCTAAAACGATCTGGGTGACTGATCCAATAATTGTTGCCAGAAATAATCACAAAAGGAGTGGAAAGTTTAAAAATGACAGCACAGCATGAGTCCTGTTTAAGTTCAAGAGCCTTGAAACTATTCATTTCAGCAATACTTATCTGAGTTAAATATTCAGAGCTCTATTTTAAACACAGAAAGAGATGAGGTTAAGTGACCTACTCTAAAACACAGAGGGACCTAATAGGCCAGTGGTGAAAAGAACTCAGCACTGCCCAGCAGAGCTATATGCTCAGATCACACCTCTCCATGAAGGAAAATGAAAGGAAATTAAAATAAGGTTGTGGATACGGATTAAGTCTGAGTGAGCTTGGCATTCTTTGGAGATTTGTGTGTTTACTTCAATTGTCGCCTTTTCTCAGAATGCAAGTCCTTGCCTTCTCTGTGGCAAAAAGTCAACAGTGTCAGAGTCACTACTGCTTCATCAGCCACAGGGCAGCTTCTGAGTGTGAACACACACAAAATCCTCAGTACTGAACTTGCCCTGCCACACTTGTCTCACTTAAAATTGAATAATTTAACAGAGACTGACATTGTTTACCCAATACAATAAACTAATGCTTTTCTAGTGTGCCACATTTTCTCTTGTTATGCAATTACTTGGATAAATTTCTTAGCAGTTGTCACAGGAAATCATAATTTTTATTTTTCCATTATTCTCACACAGGGTCCAAATAGGACATTTCCAGAAAGGCTTGAGTGAACAGAGCGTCCAGGCTTCAATTGCAACTCCGTCTTAGGGTATTAGGAGTGTCCTAATGACAGCACATAAAACTCTTCCAAAAGCTCAAGCAATATTTAAGTACACAATATTTAAGTCACTAAGAGATTGTGTGCCCTAAGACATAAAGATGTTAAGTTATATTGAGACAAGGTGTAAAAATTATATGTATGAGAAACTTAACTCCATATAAAGTAAGATTTGTATTTAAAGCTTTTCTAATGAACATCAACTGCTGTTCCAGATGTTAATGTAATGTGGAATAGAGGTTTTTTTATTTCCATGCCAAAGCCTTCCTTAACAGAGGAAGGAAAAATATGGAAGAAAAATAACCACGGTGTTAGCCACATAAGCCAGTTGAAGATTACTGCCTTTGTAAAGAAGCTCTTAACTTCTCTATAATGTTCTTCTGATCAACAGTAATTTACTAAATAAACTAGAAAGGAGAGCCTGAACAAGAAGTGACTCATAATTTGAATTTAGTTAGTTGTATTTTATTTTCCTGTCCAAGTCATGAGTAAATAGGACCTGGGGGTGTCGGTGGACAGCAGGGTGACCATGAGGCAGCAATGTCCCCTTGCAGCCAAGAAGGCCAATGGCATCCTGGGGTGTATCAGAAGGGATGTGGTGAGTAGGTCAAGAGAGGTTCTCCTTCCCCTCTACTCTGCCCTGGTGAGACTGCGTTTGGAATATTGTGTTCAGTTCTGGGCCCCTCAGTTCAAGAAGGACAGGGAATTGCTTGAAAGAGTCCAGTGCAGAGCCACAAAGATGATGGAGGGAGTGGAGCATCTCCCTTCTGAGGAGCGGCTGAGGGAGCTGGGTCTCTTTAGCTTGGAGAAGAGGAGACTGAGGGGTGACCTCATTAGTGTTTATAAATTTGTAAAGGGCGAGTGTCAGGAGGAAGGAGCCAGGCTCTTCTCAGTGATGTTACGTGATAGAACAAGGGACAATGGGTGCAAGCTGTAGCATAGAAGGTTCAATCTGAATATGAGGAAAAACTTTTTTACCTTAAGGGTTACAAAGCACTGGGACAGGCTGCCCAGAGAGGTTGTGGAGTCTCCTTCTCTGAAGGCATTCAAAACCCACCTGGACACATTTCTGTGCAACCTAGTCTAGGTGATCCTGCTCTGGCAGGGAGGGTTGGACTAGATGATCTTTCGAGGTCTCTTCCAACTCCTAATATTCTGTGATTCTGTGAAGTAGGATCCACATTTCCAGTCCATTCTTCAAGTTTAAATAAGTGTTTCTAAATACAAAACCAATGAGAGATTCTGAAAAAAAATAAATGTTTAAACAATTGCTCATAGATCACTTTGAATCCAAGTAAGCCTTTACAAACAGAATGCTTTTAAGTTAAAACTGCAAATATAAGACTTATGAACTTGTATGACATTCATTGAACAGTTATTTTCAGAAAGTCAAAGAATTCTATGTTGACAAAGTATTAGAAGCAGACACAGTCTAGGTTTGTGGTGGGGAATGGGGGGGAGTGACACAAAAAGAATTTGCCGAGTGTGCATGCATCACTTGAAGTGCTAATATGGCTACAGTCTTTCATGCCCTCTTCGGTGCATCTATATATACGACACTTTCATAATTAGAAAAGTATCCTTTTCCTAGTTTGTTTTTTTCTTTTTTTTCACTTTTCTTCAAAGGCAATGTTACTTCCCCCCCCCCCCCCCCCCGCCATTTTTTGGATGGTTAAGCTGTCCTGGTTGACAGATCTTTGTATTTATAGTTCTTCTTCAGCATGATCCATATATTTACTAATGTAAAACTGATAAAGACTTCCAAACTCGTAATTAGTTATGTGAGATAAATGCCTCCAGTAAGGATTTTTGCCCTGTTAAAATCAGATATGTAGATCAGACAGTAGTCAGGCAAGGGCCTGAAATGGGCTTGGATTGTGGTTTCTGCTGCTCTCATGGGGTATCAGAGGCTTTGTGGTTTTGAGATTCCTGCAAGATGCTACATGTCACTACACAGTATGGGAAATAATTCTTAGGGAAAAGATGGGGAAGGTGTAGTAGGAGGAACTTTTCTTCCATTTTCTTTCTGAGAAAGGCTTTTCAGTGCTCTGCCAGCATACCATGAATTAATGGAGCTGACTTATACTTCCGATACAGTGAGACACTGACTACAATACATAGTCTTGCCTTTCAAGGACTGCCGTGGCTTTGAAGTCTCAATTGTGAAGTCAGTCTAGACATGAGGAATTATACCATGGCCCCACCAGGGATGAGGAAAAGGCCTGAATTTCATGGGTCAAGCTGTCACCCTAAGCTTTCTGCTGTTGTAAACTTTACTGGTAACTAATTACTTACTTCCCTAAGGAGGTAGAAGAAAGGAACTGCAGTAAGTTAGAGTAGCAGAAATCAAAATGAACAACCTGCTTGGACCTTGATTATTCTAAATCCCCAGAAGTTTCTTTGAAATGTAATTGACTCTGTGGAATCCTAACCAGTCTCTCCAAGCTTGATTTTGACTTTGTTCTTAAAAGCAAATCCAGATGGTTTAAAATTCATTTTCTTCATACAAATTGTAGATTTGTATGCATTTGATAATGGTAATAATGATCAATTTCCAGTTAAACTAGACTGTGTGTGGTCATTTGCCCCATCTCCATTTTATGGGCTTATAGTTTTTATCAGAATCTTTCCTTCTCCTCCAGAGGGCATTATAGTACTGGCTTCCCTTTCCTTCAGTGGACATGCTGAAGTCATCCAAAATACTTTACCTTTTGCATGAAGTCTGCCATACCACTGACTTGTCTGGCATTACATTTTATTCCACTAGAGACACACTAAGAAGAAGGCTATTTCCTGAAAATTACTTACACTGAAACTTAGATATTCTCAAAGTCAGTTTTGGAAAACAACCTACTTCTGTGGTTATATTCCTAGATAGATGTCATGTCTTCCCATGGAAGAAAGTCTGCTTTCAGCACAAATCTGACAAGGAATTCATTATTTTGCTGAGCTCCAGGAGCAAAATTATTTGTATAGTGATAGATACCTTCATGTGTCAGGAAAAGTAGTTTGAAGCAATAGACAGTTTGGACTCATTGAACTAAAGTCAGGTGGTGACTTTGGTCTCTTCACTGACTAGAATTTAGGGGAATGTAAGCTGTAAAACATTTTACAGAGCCTAAGGCTCTTCCTCAACCAGAGGGATTGATATTGAGCAGTGGGGCTGGCTGGATTTGGGCATAAGAGTCTACACAAAACTATCACCTACCTTCTTCTTCTTCATTTAATATTCCTGCCATTGTACAAGCGCTCACAGAGCTAGAGAGGGAAAACAGTGCGTATGAGAGTAAGTCATAGAACTCCTGGAGTTTTTCTGTGGCTATAATAGAGCATTTGTTATAAAAGTCTTAGCTGTTAATAGAAGTTTATACTCTGTGTACTCAGAACATAAATGCAGACATGACTAAAGATGTCAATTTAATAAGAATGCTAATCCAAAGGACAATGGCTCTTCTGATGTTAATATTTCCATGTTAACAAATCCTCCCTTACATGTATATACCATCTGTAAAATGTTAATTTAAGAATGTTTTTATTACTTACACGTCCTATCCGCTGCTGTAAATTTCCAATTGGGATGCAACTTAAAATTTTGTTAAAATCCTAGTCTATTGGACAAGAAATCTTTCCACTGTTTCTATGCAGTATTTTATCTCCATGCCAGCAAGGAGTAGAAACAAATGAGTCACAAAGCTGATCTGAATAAACTTTAAAAAAAAAAAAGCTTGACCTTGTTAGCCAAGAATAACAAGGACATAAGGTAGTGCAGCTCTGCCCCTTTTTCCTTTGGATTAGGTTGAGAACAACTTTGTGCTAAAATACCTCAACCAACTAACCAAAAAAAAACCCCTCCCCAAACAAAAAAACCCACAAAACCCTCAAAAAACTCAGGAATGCAGCATTGCTTATTATCTGAATAGCTGCTTTCTTCACTTGTGAACCATCTTCTGTTGAACTAGTAGGGAGATACAGGTGAAGATAACTCATCATGTGAGATGGTGTTTCCCCTGCACACTGTGTCAATACATGAGTGGTGCTGAGGAACTGCATCTTGCACTGACTTATATCTGGTTTTAACTTTATCATGGGATCCTCCATATAGACTCCTTTTATCCCATTCCCATCTTTCTCACTACATTTTAAGCACCACTGATATAAGGACCTTCGAATTGCAGTCAAATGTAAGGGAATATGAATACTACTGTAGGAATTTACAGTAATCCTTGATAATTGAAAAAAATTCTGGGCTGTACATAACAATTTACATGGTAAAAAAGACACTGATCTCATAATGCTTGGCTGAAGAAACATTTTCTTTCTTAACTGTGTTCTTCAGCCAATTTTCTGCCTGTCATTAATTGTGTCATTGTTGGATATGGTAAGAAGACTAAACTTGCCATATCTTATTCTATGCTTATAACTCAGCTTTCTCTTTCC